CACACACACACACACACATATGCACACACACATATATGCCACATTTTCCTCATCCATTCATCTGTTGATAGATATTGGAGTTGTTTTCACATCTTGGCTATTGTGAATAATGCTGCGATAAACATGGAAATGCATGTATCTCTCTGAAATCCTGATTTCAACTCTTTTGGGTGTACACTCATAAGTGGGATTCCTGGATAATATGGTTGTTCTATTTTTAATTTTTTGAGGAACCTCCATACTCTTTTCCATGGCAACTGTACCATTTTATATTCCCACAAACAGTGCACAAGCGTTCCGTTTTCTCCACATCCTTGCCAACACTTTTTATCTCTTGTCTTTTTGCTAATAGCCATTCTAACAGTTCTGAGGTGATATCTCATTGTGCTTTTGATTTGCATTTCCCTGATGTTTAGTGATGTTGAGCATCTTTTCATGTACCTGTTGACCATTTGTATGTTTTCGTTAGGAAAAAAATGTATATTTAGATCCTCTGCCCATTTTTTAATGGATTATTCATCTCTTTGCTATTGAACTGTATGAGTTCCTTATATATTTTGGATATTAACTCCTTATCTGATAAATGGTTTGCAAATATTTTCTCCCATTCCATAGATTGCCTCTTCATTTTGTTGATTGTTTATTTGGCTGTGCAGAGGACTAGTAATTTGTTAGAGCAGCAATAGAAAACTAATGCAGGCTATTTTAAGTAGGGTAGTTGGGGAAGACCACTCTGAGCAGAGACCTAGAGAAATATCCAAGGGAAGAGCTTCCTAGGCCAAAAGGAATGACCTTTAAGTGAGAGGAGCTTGGAATGTATGAGGAACAGCAAAGAGGCCAATGTGGCTGGAGTGAGGGGCGAGCAGTAGGAGCTGAGAAGGCAGGAGAGGCCAGGGGCCAGCACACGTGAGGCTCTCCAGGGCATAGAGCTTTGGACTTGATTCTAAGCGTTATGGGAAGACACTTTGGCAGAGGAGGAATATAACCTGACTTATACTTTTAACAGGCTCCTGGTGGGTGTTGTAATAAGAGTGGACTGAACGGGGCAAGAGTAGAAGCAAGGAAGTCCACTTAGGAAGCATTTTTGATGGTCATCCAACAATCCAAATAGGAGAAGACAGCTTGGACTAGGGTGGAAGACGTGAAGCAAGGAGACTGGTCGCATATAGGATATATTTGAAAGTTAGAGTCCACTGTATTTTCTGATAGCTTGGAAGTGGGGTGGGGAAGAGAGAAGTCAGATGAGGAATTGAGCACATGGTGGGCCAGTTACTGAGACGAGAAAAATCATAGTAGAAGAAGGTTAGGGGGATGAGTAATTTGGTTTTGGACATGTTAGTTTTATTTTTTTTTCCTCTTCAATATCTTAGGTTTTTTTTTTTTTTTAATTTTTTGTTTATTGCAATAACCTTGGTTTATAACATTGTAAAAATTTCAGGTGTACATCATTGTACTTCTATTTCTGCATAGATTACATCATGTTCACCACCAAAATACTAATTACAACCCATCACCACACACATGTACCCAATTATCCCTTTCACCCTCCTCCCTCCCCCCTTCCCTTCTGGTAACCACCAATCCAATCTCTGTCCCTATGTGTTTGTTTATTGTTGTTATTATCTACTACTTAATGAAGGAAATCATACGGTATTTGACCTTCTCCCTCTGACTTATTTCACTTTGCATCATGCCCTCAATGTCCATCCATGTTGTCACAAATGGCTGGATTTCATCGTTTCTTATGGCTGAGTAGTATTCCATTGTGTATATATACCACAGCTTCTTTATCCATTCGTCCCTTGATGGGCACTTAGGTTGCTTCCAAGTCTTTGCTATTGTGAATAACGCTGCAATGAACACAGGGGTGCATGTACCTTTGCAAATTGGTGTTTTCAAGTTCTTTGGATAAATACCCAACAGTGGAATAGCTGGATCATATGGTAGTTCTATCCTTGATTTTTTGAGGAATCTCCATATTGTTTTCCATAGTGGCTGCACCAGTTTGCACTCCCACCAGCAGTGTATGAGAGTTCCCTTCTCTCCTAATCCTCTCCAACACATGTTTCCTGTCTTGTTAATTATAGCCATTCAGGCCGCCGGGAGCCGCCCACAGGTACGCAGCCTCCCTGGAAGCGCGGGGCCCTGAGCCGGGGAGCGCCCCCGCTGTGGGCATTTTGTGGACCCAGCACAATCGAGATGAGTGGCATAATATCTGACTTTGCCTGCTACTAAAGCATGGGGAGCACCCCCAGAAAACCCGGTTCACAAAGAAACTAAAACTGGCTCTTAAAGGGCCCGCGCACAAACTCACTCGTTTCACAAAGCATCCTAAAATCACCAGAAAGAATGGACATGTTAGTTTTAGATGCCAATTAGCCATCCAAGTCAAGATGTCAGATAGGCTGTTAGGTACGTGAGTCTGAAGTTCAGGGACAGTTTGAGCTAGAGGCATGTGGTAGACAGAATAATGCCCTGCCTCCCCCCCACCCCCACACACACACAAGATGTCGATGTCCTAATCCCTGGAATCTGTGAGAATGTTATGTTACATGGCAAGGGGGAATTAAAGTAGCAAACCAGCTGACCTTAAAATAAAGATATCCTGGATTATCTGGGTGGGTCTAATGTAATCAAAAAGATTCTTAAATGGGGAAGAGGGAGGCAGAGGACTTAGAACCAGAGAGACGGCATCATGAAATAGATTTGACTGGCCAGCTTTGGAGATGGTAGAAGGGACCACAAGACAAGGAATGCGAGCAGCCTCTAGAAGCTGGAAAAGACAAGAAAACAGATTCCCCCTGATAGCCTCCAGAAAGAAACCCAGCCCTGCCAACACCTTGATATTAGCCCAGTGAGACTCACTTCGGACTTCCGACCTACAGAACTGTAAAACAACAAACTTGCTTTGTTTTAAGTCACTAAGTTTATGGTAATTTGTTAGAGCAGCAATAGGAAACTAATACAAGTCATAATTTCACTGAAACATGTTTTTTCTTCAATGTACCCTATCTTGGTATGTGGCATAAACATCACCTATTTGTTCAAGAAAGAAATATGTGCCATCCTTAATTCCTGCCTCTCCTTCATGCTCCCAATTCAGTCAATATCGAGTCCTCTAGATTCTACACACTAAATATTTATTTGAAGTTACCCACTGTACTGTTTCTCGAAGTTACCCACTGTGCTGTTTCTCTAACACACATGATGATGATCATCATCAGTACAGTACACACCCACCACTCTCCATTTAGCAGCCAGAATAAGCCTTCTAAATTGAATATTCCTGGTAATTACTCCTCTCTCCTGAAACTCTTCAATGGCTAGCTATTTCACTCAGAATAAAGCCCAAACTGCTTGATATGTCATAGAAAGTCCTCCAGGGTGTGTCTCTGTCTTCAGCCTTATTTCTTGACTCACCCTCGCACTAAACTTCAGACCCCAGAAAGCATTTAGAGGCCCCCTCACTGTAGGTCTTGGCACTGGCCTCCCTTGTCCCATGACCCCTCATAGAAAAGGCTCCAATGTTCACCCTCCCCCATTCACCATCAGGGCCCAATTTATGCCCTTCAGATTGTCCCTGATCTCCTAAACTGTTAGCACCTTGATATTAGGACCTTGAACTTTTGCTTCCAGATACTCATCATGATAATTAATGTTCTGTCTGCCCCATGACAGCAGGGCTTTTGCCTGACCTGTGCACTACTCTATCTCCATTCCTAGCACCCAGCACATGGTAGGTGCTCAGGAAATATTTGTCAAATGGTAATTGCCCACCAAGGAGCTGTAAATCACTATCTTTAAAATCTCTACAACAGTTCCTATGTCATTTTTAGTAACCATTTCCTGTAAAGTCCTTACTAATGGAGTGTTCAGATACTTTGTGTCTGAGTGAGGAAGATCAGCCCTGCGCTAACATCCATGCCAATCCTCCTCTTTTCGCCCAGGAATACTGGCCCTGAGCTAACATCCCTGCTGATCTTCCTCCACTTTATGTGGGACGTCGCCACAGCATGGCCTGACAAACGGTGCGTTGGTGTGCGCCTGGGATGGAACCTGGGCCACCAGCAGCAGAACGTGCGCACTTACGCGCTACACCGCTACACCACGGCTGGCCCCCAGATACTTTTTAAAATGCGATAATTTTATGCCTATCACCATTTTTCACATTCTTGACCCCCCCAACCCCCCGTTTGAAAACAGTCAGTAAGAGGTAGATGGGAGAATGGCTTTAATTTTTCTTACATTTATGTCATTTGATGTGTACTTGTGGAGCACTTTCCATGTGCCAATCACCAAGCGTTGGGAATACAGGAAGTGGGTAAGACATAATCTGTGTTTTTACGGAGTTTGCATTCTAGTGTATGTGGTGTACATATAAGGTGAGGGGAAGTCAGAAAGCAAATAAACCGAAAATTATATAGAACACAGACAGTAATAAGAGCCAAAATCAGAAAGGGGAGTGTGTGTGTGTGGTGTCAATTTATTACTTAGGGTGATCGGGAAAGCTTCTCGAATAAAACGACATCTGAGCAGGGACCAACGGCAATCGGGGAGTCGGTATCAGGTCCTAGTGAAGCATGCAAGATCAGGCCTTTCGTTTTCTAAAATCAAATTGCACGTTACCAGTTGCAAGCTGTATGTGACTAAGCAAGTCAAACTAGACTTCTGAGCCTGCCTCCTACCTGTAAAAGGACAGTAATACTACAAACATCATAGGCTTGATATGGAAAAATGCTCAGCAAGGAAACTAACACGAAGCAAGCGTTCTATCAAGAATTCCAACGAGGGGCTGAGACCCTGGGAAACACCTCTGGGAAAGCCCGCCCACCTCCCACCACACGCACTGCCCCTCTGGCTGGCGTGCATCCGGTGATTGGCTATTCAACACGTTCGTCCCGCCTCGCCAGGGCGTCCGGTCCACTCCCGGCCGGATTTGCGTTGAGGCAGGTTCCCAGAGGGCCGCCGAGTGGGCGGTCCCTGTGACGTAGTGGTGACGCGTTACGTCACGGTGGGCGGAAGTCACGGCCGCTGTTTTGAAATCGGGCTGCCGGAGTCTTACAAGCCCGTCCACGCTGAGGCCCGCAGCTGCCCACGCCGGGCTGACCCACTGACGCTTCCTCCCTGGCCCTGCCGGCCAGAGGCCGCAGCCGCGGCATGTCCACCCCTCCGTTGGCGGCGTCGGGTATGGCGCCCGGCCCCTTCGCCGGGCCGCAGGCTCAGCAGGCCGCCCGGGAGGTCAATACGGCCTCGCTCTGCCGGATCGGGCAGGAGACGGTCCAGGACATCGTGTACCGCACCATGGAGATCTTCCAGCTCTTGAGGAACATGCAGGTGGGAAGGAGGGCGGGCGCCGCTCCTGGGCGTGCGTGGAGAAAGCGGGATGCTTCCGCGAGGGAAGACGGCGCTGGTTTAGTCGTTACCTGGGGCCCCCGGGCGTCGACGGGGCTGTCCTGGGCAAACCTCAGGTGTAGAGTCGCCGCCATTTACATTCAGAAGTGTTCCCCAATGATGTGTCTGTTCCCAAGAGTCTGCGATGTAAAGGTGATGTTTTCCAGACCGGATGTCTGGAAGATTGAAGCCGTATTTTCTAGATTCCACCTGGTTCTCAAATTACTAGGCAAACTCTTGTACCTTTCAAAGTAAAGGTGGGTCTCACTCTAGTACCCTCTTTAGATTACTTGAACTTGCATCTCATCTTTTCCAGCAAAATACTTTCTAAGGGTCCAAGGTGTTGAAGAATTCAGATTCTGCTAACCATTTTTGTTAAATAGCTTTATTTTGGTATAATTGGCATACAATAAAATGTACTTTAAAATAAAGTACATAAGTTTTGACATACGTATACACTTGTGAAACCATCATCCATCACCCCAAAAAGTGTCCTCATGCCCTTTTGAAATCTTTACTTCTGGCCTCCTTCCATCAGCAGGCAACCTCTGATTTGCTTTCTGGCACCATAAATTAGTTTGCATTTTCTAGAGTTTCATATAAATGGAATCATACACTATGTAGCCTTTTTTTTTTTTTGGTCTGGTTCCTTTCACTCAGCATGTATCAATAGTTCATTGTTTTTAATTGCTGAATAGTATTCCATTGTATGAACGTATCACAATTTGTGTATCTGTTCATCTGTTGATGGACATTGGGTTGTTTCCACTTTGGAGCCGTTGTAAATAATGCTGCTATGAATGCTTGCCTACGAATATTTGTATGAACATGTGTTTCATATTTCTTGAGTAGATAGATGCCTAGGAGTGGAATTGCTGGATCATATGGTAAATGTCTGTTTAACATTTTAAGAAACTTTCCCAAAGTGTCTGCACATTTTACATTCCCATCAGCAGCTTTTGGAGGTTCTAGTTAATCCTCATCCTTGCCAACACTTGTTATCGTGTGTTTTTTTGCTTTGCAAATACTTTCTCCCAGTCTGTGGCTTATCTTTTCATTCTCTTCACATTGCTTTTTGAAAAACAGCCAAATTTTGATGGACTCTAGTTCATCAATTTGTTCTTTTGTAGATTTTTCTTTTCATGTCATACCTAGGAAATCTTTGTCTAACCCCAGGTGACAAAGATTTTCTCCCAGGTTTTCTTCTGGAAGTTTTATAGTTTTAGATTTTACATTTAGGTCTATGATCCATATTGAGTTAATTTTTTTATATGATAGGTACAGATCCAAGTGCATTTTTTTTGCGTTTGGATGTCCAATTGTCCCAGCACCATTTTGCTAACCCATGTTTAATGCTTGCCTGTCTTAACTGCTTTGTGATGTGGATATCATTCTTGTTTTATGGGTGAGGATTCTGTGGTTCAGGGAGGTGAAGTGACTTGTCCAAAGTTAATCAGTGGTGGAGGAAATTTGAAACCAGGTCTTCAGATTCTTACAACTCTTATTTCAAAGGGTGCACTAAAGAGTGTTTCATTGCCTTTTTTTTTTTTTTTTTTTAGTGGTTGAAATTTTTCTCTCCTGATTATAAAAGTATTTCAGTTGAATGGAAGTCTTTTAAGACCATGTTAATAAGCCATGTATTGTGAAATACAATACAAAGGGAAACGAGAAGATATGAAATCTTTGGCAATTATTTTAAAAAATAATAGATTGATATCTAAAATGATTAAAATATGGATTAAACAATCACTCAGAATTTAGCAAATATTCCTTTATTTTTAACAAATAAAATGTATGCTCTACGCAAAGTACTGAATTACGACTAGTAGAGCTAATAACTAACATTTATCAAGTACTTGCTGTTTTAAGAACAGTTCCAAGAAATATTTTTATCCCTGTTTTACAGTTAAGGAAACTGAGGCTTAAACAGAGAAGAATTGACCCAGCATCACACATGACTAGTAGTTCTTCCTGCTGACCTCTTTATGATGCTAGCTTGCTGTCAAACAATTTGTACTATTAACAGATACAGTACATATCCATGACCTACACCGAAAGAAGTAACTCTTTTAAAAAAGTATTATCAATAACTAGATTACATGTGGACATATATTCAAAACCAATTTGTAAGGGACTATGATAGTTATTTCTTTGTGCCTCTTATTTTGTGAATTCTGTGGTTTAACTCACCTAAGACCCTTTGAGGCATATATCATAACTGACTGAAAAAGAAGCACCGATGTGCTCCTTCATTTCCAAAAAAGTGGAAGAAGTGGTACAAACAGGGCTACATATAACCTAGTTATTTATTAATACATTTTTTATTTTTTTATTTTATTTTTTTGTGAGGAAGATCAGCTCTGAGCTAACATCCATGCCAATCCTCCTCTTTTTGCTGAGGAAGATTGGCCCTGGGCTAACATCCATGCCCATCTTGCTCTACTTTATATGGGACGCCGCCACAGCATGGCTTGACAAGCGCTGCATCGGTGCCCGCCTGGGATCCGAACCTGGGCCGCCAGCAGTGGAGCGCGCGCGCTTAACCGCTACACCACGGGGCCGGCGCCTTAGTACATTTTTTAAAGTAGTCAAATGTTTTAAATTATCTCTATATTATTAATCCAGAAGGATGAAGTGCTATAAATACAAACTGCTGAGATTAGAATAAGCGTTTGTTTTAGAGAAGTGGTTCTATATTCATTAGGTGTCCTTTAGCCTCTTGAGAATCTGATGAAAAGTATGGATTCTCTTCTGGAAAAAATGCACTTTTATACTTTTTGAATAAAATTTCAGGGGATTAATGGAAGTCTCTCCAAGGATTGCTAGATCCCAGGTTAAGATTCCCCGTGTAAGAAAGTATTGCTTTGGTTCTGTTATTCTTCAAATCTTTAAAAAAAATTTTTTTTGAATATATAATACATCCAGAATTCAGAAATAAAAAAAGGGCATTGCAGTGAACATTCTCCCTCCCATCCCTGTCTACTAGCTATCTACTCCTCTCCACAGGCAGTGATTTTTTTTGAGTGATTTTTATCACTTTTTAGTGATTTTTTAGTGCTTTTTATCCTCTCAGATATTCTGTGCATGTTGAAGCAAACGTGTATGTATAGTCTTTGATTTTCCCCCTTTTTGCACAGATAATAGTATATTATATACAACATTTTGTACCTTGCTTTTTTCATTTGGTATATTTTGGAATTTATTCATATTTGTACAGAAAATACTTCCTTTCCTTTTTAAGGTGTATAGTAATCCACTGCATATAGAAAATACTATAATTTATTTACTAACCAGTTCTCTAGTGAAGGACGTTGGGTTGCTTTTAATTTCTAACTATTATGCTGCAGTGAATAACCTCCTACATAAGTATACAAATATACTTATAGGATAAATACTTAGGAATGGCTTTGTGCTTCTGTAATTAGATAAATTTTGATGAATTGCACTCCATAGGGGTTGTACCAGGTTAATGCTACCATGTCCTGACTGGGACCAACAACCGGCCTCTGACTAACACTGTGAGTTATATGTTTGGGTCTTTGATCATTTGATAGGTGAAAATCTGCTTTACATTTCTCCTAGTTTAAATGAGTTTGAGCATCTGTTCATATATTTATGAATCATTTATATTTCCTCTTCTGTTAACTGCTTGTTCATATTATTTGCCCAATTTTCTATCTTTTTTTTTCTTTTTAGGTCTTTTTTACCCTTGCCTCAGTTTATAAGATTTCATATTAGAAAAACTTGCTCTATGTGATAGAACTTGCAAGTTGTTTTTTTTTTTTCTTTGGTGAGGAAGATCAGCCCTGAGCTAACATCCATTGCCAATCTTCCTCTTCTTGCTAAGGAAGATCAGCCCTGAGCTAACATTTGTGCCTGTCTTCCTCTATTTTTGTATATGGGATGCCTCCCACAGCATGGCTCGATGAGCGGTGTATAGGTTTGCACCCAGGATCCGAATCCTGGGCTGCCGAAGCAGAGCGCGCAAACTCAACCACTATGCCACCGGGCCGGCCCTCTCTTGCAAGTATTTTTTTCCCAGTGTTCTTTACCTTTTGGCTCTACTTATGAAAGTTTTGCCTTACATATATATTTTTTAAGGTATGTAGTTGAATTTATCAGTTTTTTAGGGCTTGTAGGTTCTATGTCTAGTTAGGAAGGCCTTCCCCACTCCAAAAGCAGGAAGAATTTTGTTTTTTGTTCAATTTTTGTATTTAAAATTTTGTTCCATATGGAATTTATCCTAGTATAAAGTGTGAGATATGGCACCAGCCTAACTTTTTCCAAAAGGTTGATTGAATAGTTCATTTTCCTTCTCCATTGATTTCAGATGCTACTTTATACAAATGAATCTGTTTCTCGATGCTCTATTCCACGTGGCTGCCTGTCTTTTATGTAGTAATGCCAAACTTGCTTATATTTATTGAGGCTCCATAATGTGTTTACACTTATTTTCCAAAATTGCCCTGGCTGTTCTTGCTTGTTTATGTTTCCACATGTACTTTAGAATCAGCTTGATTAGTTCTGAGAAAAACCTGTTAGCATTTTTATTAGACTATTTAACCTAGAGAAACTTTATATCAGTATGATGTTGAGTCTTACTAATCAAGAACATGGAATATCCTTTTTTATGTCCCTATGAAATATTTTAAGTTTTTATCTTGAGATTTTTCAAGTTTTATTCCTGGATATTTTGTCTTTATTGTTGCTATTGTAAATGGGGTCTTTTTCTTTTCTCATAGTCTTTTTTTTTTGTTTTTAAATATGAAAGCAAAGCCATTGTTTTCTCTATATTAATTTTGTATCCATCTCTTTCTTGAATTTTTATTGATGGTAGCACTTGATCATATCATTTGTTAATAATGATGATCATACCACTTCCTTTTTAATGTTTCAACTCTTTTTTCCCTCTCTAATTGCATTGGCCAGTGCCTCCAGAACAGTGTTCACTAGTAGTATTAGTGGTCTTAGTAGACATCCTGTTCTGTTCCTGATTGTAGTGAGGATGCTTTTAATGTTTCCACATTAATCATGGTGCTGACTTTTTAACTGAAATAAATGTATTTTGTCATGTTGGGGAATTTTTATTAAGAGTTTTATATTTAAGAATAGATGTTGAATTTAATTGAATACCTTTTTAGTGTGTAGGGGTATGATCATATATTTACAGATCTTTATCAGTATTCATGAGTGAGATGGTTATTGATGAGCTTTTCAGCTAAACACCTACACTACAGTGTATACCAAGAGATCTTAGGCACTATTACAAGGTATAAAAACCTTGTCTCTCTCATGTTCACTGCTGTATCCCAGCTACTAGAACAGTGCCTGACCCATGAAAAGTGTGCAGTAAATTTTTTGATGAATTAATTGTTTCCTGCTTTGAGAAGCTGATGCTGTATGTGAAAACTAATACCCAACTTGCTGAGAAGGTGAATTTGAGGAGAGTGATTCTTTGCATTTCAAAAGGATTTTGTTTTCCTTTATGAAAAGATTTATCAAGAGTTCTTTTACTTGACACACATTTCTTAGAGAATTTTAAGTATAGATTTATGGATAAAATAACTCACTGAAGTAAAATAATTCAGACTGTACTTTCAAACCTTCTGTGTGTGTGCACTGTACTAAATACAGGGATGTAAATATGAATAATTTCCGGTCTTCACTAAGTAGAAAATATGGACAAAGTATTAAACCCAGTAAATGCCATAATAAAGGTACAGAGTGGCTCTGTATGCAAGATGTAATCATTATGCTCCTTCTTATCACCCAGACAGGAAAGCAGGGATCCTTTGAAACTTTTCTCTGGTTTGTTAGTGTTTGTGAAAGTTCATAAATTGAAAGTTCATGGGAAATCCTACGTTGTATTGGGGGGGTAAACTCTTAATGCCTTTCTCCTTTAAACTGTTTTGACTAATTCAGCCTTTGGTATTTTATCACATTTCTTTGAGATATCGTCCTCAGAGTGTTTTATGCTTGAGAATTTCTGAAAATCCTAATAATTCATTTCAAATGATTTCAAAAGATCCATCTCCTTAACTTATAAACCATAAATTACAGGAAATTTGGAAATGAGAGAAAGGAATAAAATAAATTATTCAAGCCTATCTCCCGATTACATCTTTTATCAACTGTGTATAGGCCTTTCCTGTCTTTTTTTCATGTTTATGGTTTTACCTACTTGTAATGATAATGTGTTCTGTTTTCTTTTTTCTCCAAACATTGTATCATGCACTTTTTTTTTGCATTCCCACCTCATCTGTTTAGAAAAAGAAAAGTGAACTGAGGTTTAGAAAGACTGATCTTAGAGCTATTAGACAGTTGTTAGAGTCTTGGTTTTTAATCACTTTAATCCCCAAGATAGGTGTAGGGGTGAGTGTTTATAATGAAAGCACCTTGTATACTAAAAGATATGGTACAAATGTTGTTAATTCTAATATTAAGATGATTTCACAGATAAAGTTGTGGGAGTAAAATACTGTAAAGATATACAAAGAAAGGAAGATTCTGTTCATGAGCTTCAGCAATGCACAAAAGGTGCATTTAGTTATAAGTTCTGAATAAGTAATAGCCAGTTTCTGTTTATCATCGTTTCAGTGTATACTTTTGGCTTCTTTTGATAAAAATTCTGAATTAAAAATATATAGGCATCCAATAGAGAGTGATGATCATAGCAGCAGCTTGTACCAATTTATTAATGATGTTCAAGTACAGATTGATTTGTACCTATATGTCCTGCTATTGATTTCTTTTTAAAGTCAAACTTTTGGTGACAGCTTTATGTTTTAATGCATGCCTTGACTATCGTAATTATCTTATCATAGTTAAGGTATTTTGAGATTATTTTTGCAACAGCAGCAACATACTATTCCTTTTCTTCTGCTGAAAAGTCATAATCTTCACTTTTTTCTTTTCTTCTTTAAATTGTACTTTGTTTTTAACTTCTGGTTGAGTTCAGCAGCTTGCCACCATTATATAATAGTAAGTAATAAAATTGTGCATTCTTTTTAAAGTTATAACATACTTCAAAAATTAGAGGGGAAAAGTATTTCCCTGGTCAGAGAGGCTTATGAAAAAGTTTTTTTCTAAGGCTGTTTTACAGCACTGAAACAGTATCCCAAGGAGCTAATAAATGAACATGTATTACTCTTAAGTTCTTAAAATTGCACTTTTAATTGTGAGGAACAGTTTGCTTTTAAGCAGTTCTTAAAAATTCTTTCCGTTTGCTAGCTTTGCTTCTAGAAAATCTTGATTTTCATTACATTTTTATTGTTTTGTTTTGCCTGATAAGCTGCCAAATGGTGTCACTTACCATACTGGAACATATCAAGATCGGTTAGCAAAGCTACAGGATCATCTTCGCCAACTTTCTATTCTCTTCAGGAAGCTGAGATTGGTCTACGACAAATGCAATGAAAACTGCGGAGGAATGGATCCCATTCCAGTAGAGGCAAGTTTTAGTGATAGAGGAAGGATGGATGTAAGATAGTTTTAAGACATTTGTAATTTTTTCCTTTCTTTCTCTTATTTTCACAATATTTCCAGATTTTGAATTACAGTCATGCATCACATAATGACGTTTTGGTCCAGGACGGCCGCATATACAATGGTGGTCCCATTAGATTAGTTCCATATAGCCTAGGTGTGTAGTAGGCTGTACCATCTGAGTTTGTGTAAGTGCCCTTTCTGATGTTTGCACAATGATGAAATTGCCTAACTACACATTTCTTAGAATGTATCCCCGTTGTTAAGTGATACAACTGTATATTGATTATACTTTTGACTAGAGAAGATGAAAATATGATATATTTGCATAGAATTAAATTGTACTATCTTTTCATGTTAATAATTTTTTGTAGACTTTAACATCCAAGCCTATGGTGAATTTTTATTGTTGGGAGGAGAGGGTTGTCTGTGGCAATTTTTATCATTGCTGTCAGTGTCTCCTTTTAATTAAATTAAGCATGATTGTTTTTTAGTAAGAGTTCTAATAGTATTGTAAAATACTTTTAAAATGGTTTTCATGTAAGTTCTTTATGAATAAAAGGTTATGTTTTCATCATTATTAATTTAGATTAACTTAGTGGTATCTCTCTAGTTTTGTTTTTTTTTTTTTTTTTAAAGATTTTATTTATTTATTTTTCCCCCAAAGCCCCAGTACATAGTTGTCTGTCATAGCTGCACATCCTTCTAGTTGCTGTATGTGGGACACGGCCTCAGCATGGCTGGAGGAGTGGTGCCTCGGTGCGCACCCGGGATCCGAACCCGGGCCGCCGGCAGCGGAGCGCACGCACCTAACCGCCAAGCCACGGGGCCGGCCCCATCTCTAGTTTTAAAATATATTCTTTAAATTTAATATTGGATGATAGATATATTTTAGGTAATTAAATATACGCTGTTTTTATAGGTGGCTATTTCCTGCTGACAATTTATTTCTCTGCCACCAAAGATAGCTGGGAAAGTTTGGATGTTCCTCTTGCTACGTAAAAGGAACAATTTCATATGATCAGTGCTTTGTTTTTGAGTGATCAGCATATAAAGGATGAACAGAGGAAGAGTAAACTGCAAAACAGCCTGAAAAGAAGTGGTCAACAATGTGGGAGAAAGATCAGAAATGTGGTTGACATTGTCAGATGCTTCAGAGAAGTCAAGGAAAATAAGGAATGAAAACTGTCCAGTAGATTTTGCTGGAGGAAAATTGTTGGCATATATGAGCAGAGCTTCAGTGACGTGGTAGCAACAAGAAGTCAGATCGCAGTGGGTTGAAGATTAAACAGGAAATAAGGAACTAGAGCCAGCAAGTGGATGTTCATCTTTCAAGAATCTTAGATAAAAAAGCAAGAGAGGAAAGCAATAGATGGAAGGAGGGATGGAGTTGAGGATTTTGGGGTTTTTTTTCCTCCAAATGGGAGAGACCAGACATGTTTAGATGATAAAGGAATAAAACAATAGGGAGAGGCTGAGGGGAGGGAGATAAATAATGAGGACAGGAGGGCAGAGGAATCAGAGCATAAGAATGGAGACTGTCTTCAGGAGAGAGGACAGCTCTGCATCAGGAGAGAGGAAAGGAGGAAAGAGTGTTTGTGGATGTGAGTAAGTTTATGTTTGTCCCAAGAATGTGAAGAAGTTTGGCCAGATGACTCCTGGTTGTACCACTTATTTACCTTTGGCCTGTTCCTGCATTGGTCATAGAAGATGGCAGAGACTACATGATTCCTGACGTCTCTGTCCCATGTTTGAGGGGCTTCATCAAATAAACTTCATCACAAACCATATGTACTTAATTATAATTCTACTAGAAGTTTCATTGCTATATAAATTTTTTTCTCCTACAAAAAACATTTTCTCCCATCTAAAAGAAGTTAAGACCTCTAGAAATTTGCATAGTCACTGAGGTTGTAGATAGCAAGTAAATGGCATTTATATAACGCACCTCCATGAACTTCCTTTCTTTCTAGTGTAGATGAAGGAAAGCCTGTTCTATCTCAACGGACTATAAATTTCTTAGGGGCGGGAATCATATCTTATTTGTCTTTATTTTAGCAGTGTCTCACCTAGTGTCTGGCAATTAAATATTTGCTGATTGAATGAGGATATTACTTAATTGTATGTGACAATTAATGTTATAAGAGCTATTTTGCAAAAGAAACCTGAAAAGCTAACGTATAGAATGCATTGAAATGATAAACTTCTAAGGCTGTTATTTTAGGCCATCACCTGAATTAAAATTTATTTTAATACTATTAAAAGGGAAGTATAAAAAGTAATGTTAATCAGATGCATTATATATACCAGTGTAATTGGAAAGTTTGTATCATATTTTTGACTTTCAACTTTCGTTTGTCACTCCCAGCAACTTATTCCGTATGTGGAAGAAGATGGCTCAAAGAATGATGATCGGGCTGGCCCACCTCGTTTTGCTAGTGAAGAGAGGCGAGAAATTGCTGAAGTAAATAAAGTGAGTTATTAGTCTGTACACTTTATATTTCAGAATTATTGATAAAAATTTCAAGGGAGTCTATGTAACTCAAAAACGTAATTTGAATTATAGAAATTGTTCTTGTGGCAAATTTAACTTACTTAGAGTGCAACCAAGAACTAAAAGGTAAGCAGAAATGCCATCTGATTAGTGAGCAGAGAGATCGCAGAATTCATGCCATAGAGCTCTTAGGAAAACTTCATAGGCACTCAGTTACAAGCCGTTTACTTTTTTCTTTTCTAGGCAGAATTCTAGCTTTCTAGCTTACAGCATATTTGGATCAGCAAATGATAAAAATTTACAGATAGGAGATGTGAATGTCTCAACACCTGAATAAGAAATTGACAGAGTTATCAAAGCATGACCCTACCCTCACCCCCTAAAGTGTCCTAACTTGAATGTATTTCTTGCCGAATACTTTTAGAAGTTTGGAAGATAATGTTTGGATAGTTCTCATGACACATAGAGAAGTAGGGGAAGTTGTCAGTTCATTCCGTGGTGGAAACATGGTCCAAGCTTACCAAAACCTAACACATGGCACAATAAATACAACCACCAATCTCACTCTCTTACTTACAAATACACACCCTCACCCCTGCCCTGCTCCTGAAATTCTTAATTCTAGTCAATAGAATTCATCAGGCTACTAACAATTAATCCACCACAGCCAAAGAGGTATATGAGGATAATTCAGTTTACATATGTAATACATAATGTCAGTAGATTGAATTGGAAAAAAAAATGTTTTCGAGATCTAAAAGACATTTGATGGAATTCAAATATTGCTGATTCAAAGAATACTTAAAACTATTAACAAGAGTCTTTTATTTAAAAAAGAAAATATTTTTCTTTCAGATAAATAGCCAACATTTTTCATACAGGTGAAATACAGAACTAGTCATATTAAAAACAGGCATGAAATAAAATGCCTTACACCACTATATTTAATATTATTTTAGAAGTTATAGCCAGTACAAAAAGACAAGAAACAAACTTTAGGAAACAGGGGGTATAGTATTATGTATATGCTTGTTAAGTTTGTTAAGCTTGTACATAATATTATAACTCAAGCTTGGTAAGCTCAAAGAAACTCAGTTGATTAACAGGTAGAGTCAATAAGAGCTGGATAAAAGGGCTTAATACAAGATTGATACCATTTTCTTATAATGCTGTAAACCAATTAGATTATAAGATCCTATTCACAACTGAAACAACAAATACTAAGCAGTTAGGAATTATCTCAATGATATATGTGACTAAACTTATTAAGATACCTAAAAGAAATTTTGAATAATTAAAAGAACATAGAAGGTTCTTATGTGGGCAATAAATATTCTAGAAATGCCAGTCTTGATTATTTCATAGTTTTATTTTTTATTAGTTTTAATTTTTTTTATTATTATTTTTTTTGCGAAGAACATTAGACCTGAGCTAACAATCCTCCTCTTTTTGCTGAGGAAGACTAGCCCTGGGCTAACATCTGTGCCCATCTTCCTCTACTTTATATGGGACGCCGCCACAGCATGGCTTGACAGGCGGTGCGTAAGCGCGCGCCTGGGATCCAAACACCGGGCCACCGCAGCGGAGCGCGCGCACTTAACCACTATGCCACCGGGCCAGCCCCCAATTTCATAGTTTTAATGCAGTAACAGTCCAAATCCAAATAAGAATTCTCTTGAAAGTACACAAAATAATAAGATTTTAGTGCAATACCAATCAAAAAACAAATCCAAATAAAATCCAAATTGGAATTTTTTCTTGAGAGCATACTAAAATATCAGAGAATTCTTAGAAGAGTAATAAAATAGAACTCTGCTTCAAAAATTAAAATGTGATATGAAGCGTATTATAAAAACAATAATTAAGTGTGAAATACTGGCACAAGAATAGACAGATTAGTAAAATAACAGCCAGAAAAATAGTCTTCTTATTGTATATGAGAATTTAATATGACAGAAGAGGGATTGTGTGGAAAATTAGTTTTTAAAAATAGAAACTTTGGGGAAAATTAAGCTACCTTTTACATTACACCATATGTCAAAATGAATTTCAGAGTTGAAAATAAGACCTGCAAAACAAAATATTGGCAAATTAAAAGAAAATGTTTATCAAATGTCAGGAGACAGAAAAAGGAGAAAGGAAAAAGATGGATAGATTTTATAAAATAAAATTTTTAAAATTTTTTTTAAAAAGGAGAAATAGAAATTAGGAATATTTCCAGCAAATTTGACAGTAATGAATGAGCATAAAGAACCAACAGTAGGAAATTGGTAGGGAATGAGGAGGGGACTAGGAACTTTCAATTTAGATCTTGAAAAATAAGTGGTGTTTGGTAGTCCAGACATATGAGGCATTCATTTATTAAGAAGTGTTATATGTTTCTGTTGATAATCTATGTATTAATTCACAATAGATTTGTTCTATTATTTTTGTCTGTAATAAGGGTTTTTTAAATAAAATACAATGAAGTATGTATATAAATAAAAGACCACTGTAATGATAACTTTGATTTCAGAGTACCACATGTGACATAAATATAGTTTAGTCTCTACCATAGCAGATTTTATGGTATTTTGGGGAAAAAAATCCTGTGTAAATTCAGAAAGATATAATAAATATGTTTCATTTCACTTTTCATTTCTCTAAGGTCCTCTTTCTTCTTTTCCAATTTGATAGCTTAGAAATAACTCATTCTTGATTTTTTTTAAAGACCTTTCATATAATCAGAATATGGTAATACTTTGACAGTGTGTAATCAAAAAAATCTTACTCGCTATTGACCTAGCTAATTACAAAACCAAAACTATTGGACCATATTTTTAATACATTGGCATTTGCTTGTATTAAATAAAGTTGCTTTGTGGACCTATATAATCAGTAAGAAAATTATACTCTTGGCATTCAATTAAAAATATTTAGAATTTTATTACAATGCATATTTTCTTTCTTTTTATTCTACGTAAGCTACATAAAATAAGTAGCTTTATATACCCCTCAGTTGACCCCCATTCAGTCATTTTCAAAATATTACTAAATCATTGTGTACTTGAAATTGTATAGAACAACATATTGACGGTGTGTTTAGTATGTAATCTGTGTGGTCTGTCTGGTTTCTAACAATGTATGTACCACCAGTGCCTACCATAGTACCGTTAAACTTTGGGGCATGAAATTTGTAATTAGTATTTGATGTAAATTATCAGATGAAAGAATGGCCTAGTTGCAATAGTCAGATTTTTGCTTATTTAAATACTTTTCATTTTCATATATCCTGGAATCCATAAGCCCAATATCCAAGTAGAGGATGAACACTTGTTTGAGACTGTATGTTTTAAGGACATCAGAATGAGTTCTATTTTGCTTAAAAGTATTCTGTTGATGGTAAAATGAAATCAAAAGAGGTATGTGGGTAGTTTTTCCAGCGTTGACATATAATTGAGTCCGTGCATTTAGAAATTAAAGCATTTTTGACCAGTTGTCACAGCCTTTGTATGAACATTAAATTACACGGTATGACTTAGCATAAACATATTGTTTAAGTATCTACTTTACTTACACATTCACCTGTTAACGTAACAAATTAGGTACAGCTGATGGATTTTGATAATAGCAGCTGTCAACCTCTGTTAAAATCAATCAGTGGCAAGATTGTATATATTAAATCCTGTATCGTGTCATGAAAATTTATTTACAGTTCAACCACTAATAAGCATAACTGTCAGCTTTGCTGTTGATAGTTTCGTGATTTGTTTTGGCTGTAGGTGTTTTACTTGTAGGCTAATTTTTCTTAATTTAAAACTGTGGCATCTGAGAAAAACTAAGTGCCTTATAATACATCATACTTAAAATTTTACTATTGCCTAGAGTTGAATATTACCTTGAAAATTTCTACATTTTTTTAGTTCTTTTATTTCTTTAAGAATTAATGAGGCTAATTTTTTTAAAACAAGTATATCAAAATTTATATTTAAAAATGGGGTGGGCCGGCTCCGTGGCTTAGCGGTTGAGTGCGCGCGCTCTGATGCTGGCGGCCCGGGTTCGGATCCCGGGCGCGCACCGAGGCACCACTTCTCCGTCCAACGCGAGGCCGAGTCCCACGTACAGCAACTAGAAGGATGTGAACCTATGACATACAACTATCTACTGGGGCTTTGGGGGGAAAAAATGAATAAATAAAATCTTTAAAAATGGGTATTCTTAAAAGTAGTCTTATTGGTAAGCTATGCATTTATTCCAGTGACGCAGCCATTGTGGGAGCCATCTGTAACCTCTGTTTTGATATTGATTTTAAAGTCTGTTTTTAACCACCCAAGAATATAATTTTATTACTTCTAGTTACTCCTTAATTTATACTGAAAATGTGATCACCGAGCTTATTTCACCAGATTGGTTTTCAACTGTTTCCAAAAGTTGTCCTTTTTCTTCTTTTCCATGGACACAGGTTTGTCACTATTGAAGTTATTTAGAAGAACCCATCCCCTACACTTGCCCAGTTAACCTTTTTCATTTCAGTTTAAATCATATTTCTTCTCCTTCAAGAATTTTGATGGGTACCCATTACCCACTCCAAGCCCAAATTTATCCTCCTTCCACTCTTTGGTCACCACCAATTTTTCGAGACCCAAACAAAAATATTTACCTTGTTTGCTGACCCTACCAGTCAGAGGCACTGTCTCTCTCTTTTGGGGATCCACAGCATCTGATATTTTTTCTCTGCCATCTGCCTTAGCAGGTTATAGTTTAGCCATTTGGGCATTATCTTCCTCCTACTTGATGTTGAATTTCTTCAAGACAGGGACTGTTCCTTATTCTTGTTTCTCCCCTTACAGTGCCCAGAGCCTGGCACATAATATGCCCTCAGTAAATATTTATGTAACAGCATGTGTTACAGGCTCAGAATTGCACTCCAAAGAGAAGTTCTGAAACTTTTGAAAGTGATCATATTCAAAATACGTCAGAACTTCCTAATTCAAACGTTTGTTTTTTCAAAAAGTCAACTCGCATTCTTTCTCTTCCTTTTATTCTCACTCAATAGCTCTTCCCCACTTCCCTCCTGAAAAGTTAGAATTGAGAGGAGAATTGTGGTAGCTGAAGTCTCTCACAGCTGGGGGAGTGATGGCACTTCAGCAGTGGTAAAGGGCAGCTGCTGTGAACCGTTTTGAAGCTATTATTAGTTCACTAAACTAAGCTTACTGGTTTTCATCACGTTTTTGTAACTGATTGTCATCTTATGCATGAGCATACAGAAAGTAGAACTGGCAGGGGCCTTATAGATTATATAATCCCATTTCACAGACAACACTGAGGATAGGAAATTTGTCTGAGATCCAATAGCCAGTTAAAGGCAAAGTTAGAACTGGGACTGAGGTTTCTAGCCTCACAATATAGCACCTTTACTCTTATATTCCTCTGTTTTGCTGCTATTCCTTTTTTTTTTTTTTTTAAAGATTTTATTTATTTATTTTTTCCCCCCAAAGCCCCAGTAGATAGTTGTATGTCATAGCTTCACATCCCTCTAGTTGCTGTATGTGGGACGCGGCCTCAGCATGGCCGGAGAAGCAGTGCGTCTGTGCGCACCCGGGATCCGAACCCGGGCCGCCAGCAGCGGAGTGCGCGCACTTAACCGCTGAGCCACGGGGCCGGCCCTGCTATTCTTGACTTCTGCCAGAAGTGTCAGTTTCTTGGTCTCTGGATGCAAAAGACTGTATAGGCTTGGACTGGTCATCCAGTCATTTCTCATCTCACCCAGTTATTGGGTCCATTTGGTTAGATAATATACACAACTGCTTCAATAACTACCACGGACTTAGGACAACAGAACTTAGAAGATGGGTCATCTGAAATCTGAACAAGGAGACTGAGTAACTAAAATACTAACAGTAGCTTTATCCCAAACTATGTTCAAGTGAGCTTTAGGGTCATGCCCTGTGTCCTGTATGGTCATATGTTTTATCTAACTGTTGTGTTAATTCACTTTTCAAGTATGACTTAATTAAATTTAATTTAGATGATTCTAGTCTCTGTAAATTGCTTTTCTATTTTCCAATAAGAGTTTCTTGGTCCTCTGTTTTAGCTACCTATTTCCTCTTACTTCTCTAACTTTAGGTAGAAGTAATACGAGCAATTTTTTAAATCTTAGTTTGCTTTTTAATGAAATCAGAATTAAGAATTTTAGGCCTCTTTATAGTGAACATGTACTACTTTACCTGGAGGTATTTTAATATAGTGCTCTTAAAATTATCTAATTAAATATATTATTTCCAAATGTAATGTTTCCAAAAGGTTATTGAACAATAATGATTATTATAATAACTAGTAAATACTTTGACCAGAAGTTCTCTATTTTTATCTTGTTTTGCCTAAGCAGACATTTGCCACATAGGATTTGAAGAAAGGATGCTTAAAACGTTTATGAACCGTGGCCTAGTAGAAACTCAGATATAGAGATACAGAGACACATGCCGTCTGCATTCAGAGCATCCAGCACATCTTAGTTGTGAAGAAGATCACATTGGGGACTGTGTCATTTTGTCTTCAGTTTTCAGAATTAGAATTTGGTTGGACTTCATGCCGGGGGCAAAAAGCGACATCTGCCACATTTTTGAAAGGCCAGTTGCATCGGGCAATGTATTTTTATTATAGTTTGTTTTCTGTACTGACAGTTCATGTTCTTTGCCTACCAATAACCATTGTAGAATGCTTACTTATATGCAGGCACAGTTCCAACACTTTACAGAATCAAATCATTTACTCCTCGTAATAACCCTTAGGAGATAGATTCAATTATCCCCATTTTTCTGATGTGGAAACTGAGGCGTAGAGAGGTGAAGTAATTTGGCCAGCAGCCTATATTTAGTTAGTGAAGGAGCTGAGTATAAACCCAGAGAGCCTGGCTCGGGAGGTTGTGCTCTTGGCCATTATGTTATGCTGCCTCTTGGAAAACCTATATACTTAGGTTTTGTAACAACGGACAGTTGGACTTATTTTCTTTGATGGGGGAAGTGGAGGAGTACAGGCAGGCAGGGCTGGAGCCACGGGCGTCTGGGGGCTGAATTAGAAGTCAGTATGCCTTTCAGTGAATATCTGTGGCCAGAAAAAGATTGAGCCCTTCTGCCTTAAGGAAATATTTAGCTTAATTTCTGTCTGGACCATTAGAGTCCTAACTTATGACATTTTAATCTTCTAACTTCATGGTCTATATTTCCTGAAACATTTTTGATAAATTCTTTTGTTTCTACAGAAACTCAAACAGAAGAATCAACAGCTGAAGCAAATTATGGATCAATTACGAAATCTTATCTGGGATATAAATGCCATGTTGGCAATGAGGAACTAAACTGATATTTAAATTTCCTGCTTTACACGTTATGCCATTTTTTTTTCAAGTATTTTTTCCCTTTGAAGAAGAGTATTTGTCTGCTTTTATTCTAGTCACTAGAATTAAAGTTCCTATTTTTACATTGTGGTTTTATGTTAAAGTGTTCATTAGCAGTTTTTTTTTAAAGCTGTTGATTCTATGAACGATAATCATAATAAACTTTGATGGGGTCTGTGTTTTGGTTAATCTTCATGAATTGAATAATTGTTTTTTAAAAGCAAAATAAGTTTTGTAAATAAATTTTTTAATTGGCTCAATGGTTCTGCTTGTTTCATTATGCTTTTAGGGGAAAATTAAAGGTTTAAACAATTTGCAGATGAAAATATCAAGTACAGTCAATCTATGGTACAAATTAATGAAAATTAAACATGTTGTTACCATTTCAGCTCAATTTTTTAAATTCGAGTCCCAAACAAGTTAAAAAATGAGAAAACAGTTAACTTGTATATAGCTGTAAGTAGATGAAAATTACTTTGATCATGTTCTTCAAGTGTTTAGTCTTAATTGGAATGGTCTGGCTCTAAAAGGAGAGAAACAAATAATTTGAGGAGGGCACAAATTGACATCACAACTATGTGCTTATTTGCTCCCTGCTTTAGACTAAGAAGCAATCCCCTCTCTGATTTTTCAGATACACCCTAAGTAATATCTCAAGTGCGTTTCGGAAACAATAAATTTTTGAGAGTTTTAAATGAGATAGTGCTATATGGCAAGTACTTTTATAGATTGATTGGTAGTTGGTCTACAGTAAGTAAGTCCTTTATAGGTCTGCCTCCAGGAGCTGGTCTCTCAGATTTTGAATAATGTCTTCTCAAGTAAGAGTGGGATTCTTCTCAGGAAGGACTTTTCCAGCCTGATCCAGAAGCCCCTAGCTGTCTATCTGGCCTTGGATCTGACTCAATAATAAATACTGCTATTTGACTTTTCATATATATGGATAAGGTTTCTCTGGAAGGTTACACAAGAAACAGGTAACCAGGGGAGGGATTACCTGCGTGGTTATATATCCTTTGATACCGTTGGAATTTTATAACATGCAAATATCACCTATTCAAAAAATAGGTAAAATTTCATTGTAAGTTATGTAGATTCCCACCTATAACAAGTGGCAGAAGCACAAGAAGATAAGACAAACCATGTGGACATCTTTAGACCCTCTAACTCCATTCATCAGAGCAAGTTTTCCTGAGCAAGCCCAATTATAGTGGAATGGGGTGTTGACTGCCTACAGTGGGAAGCACTGCAGAGTTACAGGCAGAAGGTAAAGGTTTATGAAGCTATGATTGATAGGGAGAAGAATTAGACCAATAATTCGACCTACCCCAGTGGTCTGTAGTATCTGAGGGTATTATAGTTTATTTAGCCTATCACCAACTGGACATGCAGGGTTTTTATAGGTGTTCACTACTTAATATGTTCTTCGCATGGTAGATTGCCAATTACTATTATGAATTTAGTGTTTTGGTATTGACAACTTCTAAAGCAGTTATAAAAAATGTTTTGACCTAATGTGAGTTTTTTTGGTTTTAATCATCACAATTCCTTAGATCATTCAAGGTGCTACAAACTCAACTCTTGGAGGGGATGTGGAAATGGCATGTTTTGGGCCTTGGTTCTGTAGAGAATATTTCTTCTTTGGAGCAATAATCAATGCAGCCACACTCAGCTACAGAGCTGCAGCCCCAAATTCTGGGAAGGGTGTATTTTCAGCCCTCAGAACTGAGGCCAGTTTCCTCCAGTCACTCACAAGTCTACTTGGGACCAATTATGAATGTGTTGGGGGGTTATTAAACACAAAGACCCCACTAACTCTTGAAATTTCAGCTTTTTTTTGAGGGAGAGCATGCCAACAGATTGAAGAGCAAAGAAAGAATTCAATTGTGATGTGTGGCTTTGGGCAAGTTGATAGGTGGGATTAGTTGATCTGATATTCTATTTAGAATTTTGGTTGCAAATGTTAGAAACCCAATTCAAAATGGCTTGAGCCAAAAGGGGATTAGTTCCTGTAGCAAGAAAGGGTGCCAGAGAAGAGCTCACAGAATCAGAAAAGCTGCAGGAACCAAGGCTTCAGGAATTAGAACCAAGCTTTAGTGCCCCAGGCTTCCCCATGCCCACCCCTAGTTTCTGCTTCTCTCCCTTTGCTCCACTCTCTCTTACTGCAGACAGGCTTTCTCCAAATGGTGGAAAGATGGCCTTCCACTGGCTTACCTTTATGTCTTTTCTGTATCGTGACCAGAGAGGCTGGGCTACTTCTCCAACTTTAAATGGAGAATTTGAATGGACACAATAACACAGCTTGGGTCCTATAACCAACCTCTGGATGAACTGTTGTGTAAATGGATGCTATAATTAGACTGACTCAGGTTATAAGCCCATCCCTGTGGCCAGGAATTGGGTGTGGGAATCATGGAAAAGTTACTGAGCAGTGAACACATGTTATTAGAAAAAATGGGCACCAACCAGGAAAATTGGCAAGAAAAACATAAATGGCAACCACAGCCCACTTATGTTCTTCCTAGGTTATAATACTATCTCAGTCATAATATCAGTTATTCAATTCTCAAAAGCCCAAGAAGTTTATAGAAAAATGCATCATTGACTATCATGAGAAAATTCTTAATTTTTTTTCTGAATTTGTGGACTTCTATATTGACACATTTTCTTTGAGGCTGTTTTTTTTTGCAGTTGTTGCAATTAATTGCAATGCGGTCTTGTCAGGTCTTGGTTAGCGTGGGTTAAAGCACAGGCAGGAAAGACCTAAGAAAAAATAAAATGACAAAGCTCCAGCATCCTGGTAATGACATTATCTTTAAAATGATTTGGAAACCTAAGGCCCTGATCACTCAGACATTAGATCCCTTGGCACCATTACAAACTAAAGTGTGTTAACTTGACATTTTGATGTAACTCCAGTTTGAGTAATTCGTTTTCTTTCGTTAAATTCCCAAGGAAGTTTAAGCTAGATGGAGGAGTCTTTCAGCCTTAAACTAAAATGTGTGCTTGTCCTAAAGCTCAAAGAATTTGTTATCCTGAGTGTTCTGAAATTTGTCCAACAAAGCTGGATGCCTTAAATTTTTCCTATTCTTTTAAAACATTAATGGATCAAAGACTGATTTTTTAAGCCAAAATTGAAAAGTATTCTAGATGTATATATATTTTTTTTAACATGGTAGCAGTCTTGAATTCTTTCACATTTTTTTAACCTAAAGAGTTAGAGTTAATAGATTTAATATTTTACATAGGATTGACATTGTGCACTAATGCATTTACATCAGTGATTCATACATTTTTTTCAAAAATTCTTACTGTTGCCAATAATTTGCATTCCAAAAACTGCTAGAAAATTTAAACCTATATTTTCTCTGTACTTTGAGGTCTTATTCTTCTATGACATTGGATCACAAGATCACCAAGTGGTGTGCTTCTTGTTAGAACTACCAAAACCTGTTTTAACTTTTTCAGATGTCTTTTCAAGGTAATACCTCTTCAACTTTAGCGTGCACAAGAATCACTTGGGAGCCTTTTAAAAATGCAGATTTTTAGGGGCCGGCCCCATGGTGTAGTGGTTAAGTTTGGCGAGCTCTGCTTTGGTGGCCCAGGTTCACAGGTTTGAATCCAGGCATTGGCCAACACCACTTCATCAGCCATGCTGTGACAGTGACCCACATATAAAGTGGAGGAAGATTGGCACAGATGTTAGCTCAGGGCTAATCTTCCTCAAGCAAAAAAAGAGGAAGACTGGCAATAGAAGTTAGCTCAGTGCTAATCTTCCTTAGCAAAAAAAAAAAAAAAGATTTTTGGATTTACCACAAATGTACTGAATCAGAATCTCTATGGTGAGGTCTAAAAATCTGCATATTAACAAGTTTTCTAGGTAATCTGTCACTGACACTGGAAAATACTGGTCTATGTAGTTTAGTGATTAAAACACTATGAGTATTTTAATATGAAAAACTGTTCAAAAATAGCAGTATTGACATAAAATGCATTATGCCATATTTAGAGTTCTAGCCTTTTGAGTATTTAAAAACAATGCTCTATATCAGCAGTTCTCAACCTTGGCTACACATTAGAATCAACTGGGGAAATGTTAAAATTCCCTATGCTGAAGCCACACCCAAACCAATTAAATCACAATTCTGGGGTGGGATCCAGGCATCAATGTGTTTGTTTTAAAGCTCCCCAGGTGATTCCAATGTGCAGCCAAAGTAAGAATCATTGTTCTATATAGATTTACAGGCATAGAAAGAATCTTGAGGGATTGATTCTTCCAGTAATAGTTAAATATTTGGAGCAAAGAACTTCTAGAGGGAAAAATCCTAAAACTCATGTATATGCAAATGTATTTTTTAAGGATACTTGACCAACTCTATACTCTTGAGTGTCAGAGGCAAAGAACCTTCTCGCTCATCATCCACAATTATACCACTAAGGGAAAAATTGAAGACATAGTGCCAGATAGCTGGCAATATTTATAGGCAAAGGGAAAGAAGAGGACTGTGCATGGTCTTCCATCCTTATAGGATATAATACTTCCAAGACATTAAAGAGGTTGAGTGAAGTGAAAAGGATGACATTTCTCTTGGTTCCCTCTCCTATGCTGATGTTATGGCCACATCTTGTTTAAGACTGATAAAATAACCTGGATTTATAATTTACTCATGTAACAGCCATTTACAGATCACCTACAGCCTCTAGACACCAGGCTAGGAGCTGAGTATACCAAGATGGAAAGGATCCTTTGTTCAAAGGTTATGGAATATAAGCTAGAAGAGAGCTATTCTCATACACAAATTCTAGGCTAGTCAGGGGACTTCTCCACATTCATGAATTGGATGCAAACCAAAGAACCAATGAACTGCTTTTATTCCATTGAGACTTAGATTTTCATGCCTATAGAGCAGATCACAGAAGCTCAAGTTAGAGGTCTCCGTCCTGTGGGATACCACACAAAAAGAGTATCTCTGTGGTTAAAACATTATGGCTGTGTATGCCCAGACCTGTAACAAGCTAACTTCGGATAAAGATACAAGAAGGCAAAGCTATAAAAATGTTCAACTCCGGAAGATGAGAATGTAGCACAGCTTTAATTGCAATAAGGTGAGGGAAATAGTTTTGGAAGCAGCTTTGGGAGGAGGAAGAAAAGTCATTTGTGTAAGCTCAGTACTTAAAATCTACAGATGGCATAGCTAACAAATAAATCAATTAAAGAATGCAAAGTGTGAACAGAAACATAAATGTGAA